AAAAAACCTTATACACTAGACATTGTATTAACAAACGTTGCGTTCCATGTGGCATTGACATGGCAAAATGGCACCAAAAGGTACATTTTGCTACTCTAGATGGAATTTTCTGCCGTGCTTTACAAACCATATAGAACTCTTCTGCAACATTTTTATTACCATACATTAACACATTTTTAACGACAACAGTAGCATCTCACTATTATAGACGTCTGACTTAATGTGCAAAAATAGATGGGTGAATCAAGTGATCGACATTGCTACAGTTCCTATGCTTGACAAGAATGACCAATCTTAAAATGATCTAACAAACTTAAGTGAATATTTGATATAATGTTCAAATGGTAAAAATACCTTACGTCGCCTGATATGTTTTAAGACATTTTTGAATTAGTCTTATCTCTGTCTTTCATATCTCGGTGGTTTTTTTAAAGGTCAAATGTTCTCGGTCAATGCATGGGCCGCCATTTGTACATGTAGAACGTTTCATATGTATACTTGCAGTTTCCAACACTGTATGCCCAAGGTCTCATCAATGTACATTTTGTCTGCAGGCCAGGATGGTCCGCTTATCTTTGAACTGTTGTCAAGACAAATGCAGTTGCCCTTTTCTTTGGGTGCACTGCGTTAACGGCGCGGCCGAAGAAGAGGCGCTTGACACCACGGCGAATGTCTTTCAGCCGGAAGCCGTAGATGATTGGATTAAGCGCGGAATTTACGATGACAAACCCTAGCATGGGCGGGCCTGTGATGCCGCAGTCTTGTTTGCAGGCAATGCCGTCGGCGATTCTGATGCAAAATGGCAGCCACCCTACTAGAAACAGAATGGTGATGATGAGAACGGTGATTGAGGATTTCCTGCTGGTGCTGTGTTGGGCGTGCACCGCGGCTTCTTGTCGCTTGATGGCGCTAACCTGCTTCCACAGACACCAGAAGACGCCGAGATTGAGGCCCACGATTGCAGTCATCGGTATGAAGACTAGCACCAAGACAAGGACCAGGTAACTGTAGGCATAGCTTGCGCTTGAAAGAGGAATACATTCTACCGTACAGTTCCAGCCAAAGTACGGCAGCATTGCGAAAATGCCACTCCAAACCCATACGACAGCGCTCATTATCAGGCAGCGGTCGTTAGTGACGTTGTTGACGTAGGTCATGCCATGGACAATGAACCAGTAGCGCTCAGCCGTCAGGGTCAGCAGACTGTAAGCGGAGGTAAGCGCGGAAAGGAGAACTGTTGTCAAGTAAAAACGGACCAGTGCCTCGGGCACAACAGGCATAGAATAACCCGTACAGATCATGGAGAGTAAGCTTACACCAGTGCAAATGTCACTTGCTGCCAGGTTGGCCATGAGAATGTAGACCGGTTTGTGCAGTGTCTCCTGCTTGACGATTGCCGCGATTGGTAGACAATTACCCACGATGGAGCAGATCGCAAGACCGCATAAGATGTACGAAAACCATACAAATATGGAAATGTCTGGTTTCATTCCCGAGCTTTGATTCTGTTGATCTTCACCGAGACATTTTAATTGAGCAGAAGTTGAGTTTTCAGCTAACTGCGAGGTGCTGTAGTTGCCCGCAATCAAGCTGCAGTTCGAAGATACGTCTTCTTGAACTGTTAATCGGACAAAACTGTCGATGTCCATACTGTCATCGTTACTAATTTCTGTTGAACTGTTCGTGTTGATGCTAGGTGCCAATGTTCTCCCCAAACAGTGACTCAATACAACAAAAATACACAACGCTATCCGGGTGTACAGGCCTCCGCACAACATTATTACAGATTCCAGAAGAAGAATTTAAAAAAAATACCGGCAATGCCAGGGTGTCACCAGACTGCACAGGGCGGTGTCTGACTTGCTCTTCAGGGATCGAGAACAAGAGCGATGAAGTACCGAACGTGTCGAGTTGTCACAACACTTTATCTTTACTATTTCCTGAGAAAACCTTCTACGACTCTCCCAAATGGATGGATATATTAAACGTCTCCTGCAAAGACTTGTCTCACACACGCTTTTCTAAGGTTGTAAATTGGCCAAATTACAGTATCAGTGCCGTCCAAGCAATGCGTGCAACATGATTTGAGACGTTGTATATGTACCCGCTTGCCATTAACACGTTGCATGATGTTGCACAGTCTACAGAACAGGTGCAGGAAAGTTTGGATTATCAGAAAGTGCCGTTAGGAAGCAGCAGCAAATCTCCCTGCTTTCCAAGTCACGTAGAGAATTTGTATAGGGATTTCTTCAACAATTGAAAGCAAACCCGTGCACTCAAAGAATTACAAAATTAAAGTTTTTCACCTGCCAACAGCCGGATCTTGTAGGACATAGTCTTAAACCCATAATCCCTAACGTTTTCATCCATAAACACCTGCTACTGCGCTATTGTTTGAATGCTTAAAACTTTTCAAAACATCCTATCGTTCGTTCATGCAAGAATTTACGAATGGATTTAAAGAGAAAGTTTTGACGTGCTAGGTCGATTGGCTTTTTTGACAGGAAGCTTATTTGTTCTGACAAAAATGGGATAGGTTTGGATAATCCGATAGTTTATATTTTGATTATTCAACGACATGTTGAATGTTTTTGTGCATGATAATACGTAATTGTACAAGTATATTAAGCGAGCATACTGTGTATCTATTTAATGCCATGAATGTATTTCTGCAGTGCACCCTGGTGAGCTCTAGGCACGATGGGTTTACCAAGCTGCATCTTACTCCTAACGGGGATTATCTTCAGTCTTTCAATACCTGTGCACCTCAAGCAGAATCTGCAAGGTGACGCTTTCCATGGGGTAAGACAACAAAATAAAAAAAAATTGAGAACATGAGTTCTTCGACCTGTTGTGTATTTAATAAATAGACTTTATTAAATGTGATTAGAAAGCACGATTGCCCATTATTATTGCATAAACTCATCATCGTTAATTTAATTTGTAGGATGAGGAAAACGTTGATGACCTTGATGTACAGTTCGATGAAGATTTAAATCTTCTAAAGGATCGGAATGCATTTGAGATCTTTAAAGGTACGTGTATTTAAAATATTTCCTAAACAACAGCATTATTTTTGTCAGATGATAACAGAATTATTATCAGTGCATCGCATTCACATTGCAGTTGCTTTTTCTTTTCAAGTAATCAACTCTGAATCCCTTAAATATATATGTGTTATGTAGGAAATGATCACAACTTTTAATTTGTTTTTATTTATTTGTTTTAATTTATGATTGCCTGGGACGTACTTGGCCATATAACAGATCCTCGGTAGAATTTGCTAATTAAAAGTTCTGTTTCTAAGCTAGGTTCTCTTATCACTTCATCTAGACACAAATAGCTAAATTTAACCAACATGATGCCCCCCCCTCCCCGCGCAGAAGTCGACCCGACCCTCAGGAGATTGTCCCTATTGCGGCAGGTGTTCGGGGACGTCCCTCCTAACCATGTCCTGCGCCGAGATCTATCAAGGAAAACGCGTGGAATCAAACCTCTTCTACTCGGCGTGTTAGCTTGGCACATCCTCCAGAATTCAAAACGTCCTCCTCCACCAAGTGAGTCATCGTATTCTTTCTTATTAAAAATATATACATGGTCACTGTCTTTATTCCTGGCCATGGAAACATTTACAATATAAATGTAAGATCTCACATATTATACAAGGAGTCAAATTTTACAAAACGTGCTCAAATTATATGGTAGATTGTGTGGTGTGTAGTATTCCGAAAGGGCTTTCTTTAACATTTTTGTTAAAACTATGTCTATGTTGCATCTTGCATCTTAACAAAAGATCGTATCCACGACGTCACGAAGGTTGGACCATGACTCTGGTTAATATATTACCTAGTTGGATTCGAAGCAGATTCAATCAAATCCGCCAAACCCACCGTGCACGTGAGTTACAGCTGCGAACACACAAACATACCGAAAACAGAACCCTTCCGCGGAAGGATATCTTCTATCCCGGAGGTTAAGAATACGTGACAGTGAATATCTATTATATCTACGTTCTACTATTAATGCAAAATCTAGAATACATTTTTAGGAAAGAAATGCATTGCATGGTGACGTTTTCTATTTTTAGAACCTGACACCACTCCCCCACAACTGACCCACTGCCCTTCTGTCGGGGACGTGGTGCTCTCCAGTGGTCAAACAACGGCCTGCATCAACTTAGGCCAACCGACATACAAGGATGACCGTTCCCAGACAGTCAGGTACAGTATGTTTTCACTCACTTTGTATGACAAACTATTCTAGTTCTACGATCTCATACCTTCGCCAACTGATTTTAACCTTCCATAAATAATTTCATCAGGTTTATAAATGAATGAATAGCAAAGTTCTTTGATCACAACCATTTATTTTTTCACGAGCCGACGTTTTGATGACCGTCTGTCATCTTCATCAAGGGAATTCTGACTGGTTTACCGTGCACTGGCGCTAGATGTTGTGCAGAGTGCACAGTAAACCAGTCAGCTGAATTGCCCTGATGAAGATGACAGACGGTCATCGAAACGTCGGCTCGTGAAAAATAATTGGTTGTGATCAAAGAACTTTGCTATTCATGATGTTAACCTTTATGACTAATTAACTTAGATAACTTAGATAACTATAAGATAACATAAGTGCCAGATGTCATTTATATGGCCATACGCTCCAGTCATGCACATCGTAAAATTAAGCAATACTGGACATTTTTTTCTTCTTTTATTTGCATGTACAGGGTCATAAAGAACCGTAACGTGCCATCTAATGGTTGTTTTCCTGAGGGACACTACACCATTTCCTACATCGCCCTGGACGACTCTGGCAACAGGAATGAAGACTGCCAACTTCGGTTCAGTGTGAAAGGTGCAGAAGTTTCACTTCAATTCGCAAATTTATGTAGCAGAAACAATACAAGACTTATACTTAGGTATCAACTATATTGTACAGTTGTAAACATATATTTGCAGATATCAACAAAACATGATTTTATAAATTAAGTGACGTGCACATCGCAAGAATAAATGGTATTGCTCCACACAATCTATCTTTTTAGAATCAGATTCAGATTTTATTACCAATGACATAGCAGGTACAATATAAAATCAACACCTGAATTGCGTCATTGCTTACAGATCCGCCTTTAAAATCCAAGTATAAAATTCATAATAAATGATAAAATACAATTCTAAAAGTCATATCGGGAATAAGATATAAAGGGATATCAGGTAACCTATTCACAAAATGTTTCTGGTAGAGCAGCAGACTCGTACATGTATGAGCGTGTGTTACAGGTCAGCTCAAACAAACTCAGTGCTAGGATTACAAGTACGAGAAGTTTTAAATCCAAACCTATGCACGTAGGCAGTAGGCTATTTTTTAAAATACTGTGTAGATACTACATAGATACTAGATGCGAAGAAATAGATTATCCATAAGTAGAAATAGAAAGATGTTGATAAAGTCTTTAACAGCAGCTGCTTTATTTCCATCAGCAATCCATTGCAGCTCGGGACCGCCAACAGTTGAGCACGGCTACAAGGAGACCTGTACACCGAGAACTTCTCAGGAAGACATCCTGGGAACCACATGCTCATATCGCTGCCTGCCTGGCTTCAGCATGGACAACTCTACATCACAAACAATGGTCTGCACTCAAACAGGCGGGCAGCAGGCCGAATGGAGTGGTAACATCACTTGCAAAAGTAAGTGGTAGGATGTCGATTTTTGTAAGTTTCAGAAGAATAACTGAGTCTACTATATTTGCATAAAATCGCATTGTTAGCATCGCTAGAGTAAACACATGTGGTCCATTACATTTGCAAGGTTTCTATGAACGTTAAGATTTGTTCTGATGCTAAAGACATATTCGTAGCCGCCATATTTGTAGAATGGACATACAGTGCGGCCCATGGATGACTAGAACAACTATACGCAGGCCGGTGCTCATACATACGGAATAACTATTTTCAAACAGGTTAAGAAGAAATTTGGTTTAAAGAATAAATTTCTAAAATATTTGACTTGACCGCTTCTTTAACACACCAACATGGCAGAGACTAGCACTTCGGTAGAACGTCTCATTTAAAGTCGTATTCGCGTATATAAGGTTAACATCCTGTGTGTAGTTTCCAAATGTTATGTTGGAAAATATCGTCTACAACAGCCAAAATTCTGATTCAACGTTAACAAAAAAAAAAAAAATGAAAACCGCGAAATGAGGGTTTTGCGCATGCACACTACGTTCTGCTTACATTACGTGCTGCGGAGGCTACATTACGTCATAGCCACGTGACTGTACGCGAATTGGGTTGACCTGGGGTTGACGGTAAAAAAATTCGAGCTGGCTAAAGCGCTGCTGTACTATATATTTATTGTTGCAGAAATCAGCTGTCCGGACATTGAGAGCCCTTCCCATGGCCGGTACAGGTGTACTGACGGGACCCGGTTTCAAAGTGTGTGCAGGCTGGAGTGTGACGTAGGGTTTGCTCCGTCGACACAGAAGCACAGCACAGTGTGTCAGGCCGATCGGCAATGGTCTACGGAGGCCGCCCTGTGTACTGGTACGTTATAACTCTGGATACACAAAGGGTAATCAAGGTATTGCAGATTTTAGAATTTCGGAAGTATGTAATTCTATGCTTCCTTCTTTCCCCAACGTTGACGAAATTCATGATGGATACGGACCAGATTCTGACACTGCCACGTTCACTGATTAAACTTTTGACCCCTGCTTGCTAATCTTTCCCACCCACTTGCTGTCAATCTAGTTTGTAGAAAAAAACATATACACGAACCCAAAAGTCAGCCATCAGAAACAATACAAGGTATGGATATGCCTAAATACTAGACATTTTCTGCCTACAATGATTAGAGGAGCTTGCTTTAATGTAGAAGTAAAATTGCATGATGCTGCATAGATTTTGAAAATAGGGCATGTATTTATAGCGGTTTAACCATACTATGTTTTTGTCAGACGTTCAACCACCAAAGTTCATCAACTGCCCAGATGACGTCATTGCGTATGCCGAGAGAAATAAGGATCACGTGATCGTCACGTGGCCACCCCTACAGGCACGTGACAACTCTGGAGAAGAACCAATCATCACACAGATTGACGGGCCACAGAACGGATCTCTATTGAGCACAGATGGAAAGAAGCACAGAGTCCTGTACACGGCGATGGACAATCAGGATAACCGAAACAATTGCTCTTTCAGCGTCATACCTCAAGGTATATTATGATAGAATCTTCTTCTTCTTCTTCAACGTTAGCCCACACCGATTTACTTTTATGAATGACATCCTCTGAAGACCCCCAAACTAGTGCGCGCGGGAGAATAAAAAAAAATTCCGGCCAGAAATAAAAATGCTACTAAACCACAGGAATACAAAGCTGGTATTGTGAATTCGCGACAGTACTTATCAACCTTTACGACAAGCCGGCACATGCAGGCTTTTTGCGGCATTTATGAATCGGTACTGTACTTATGTACTGAGTTCTTGAGTCGTGGAGCTTTGAATTCGATAGCCTGGGTGCTCGGCTCCGTTTTGTCGCCGACTACCCAGACCTAGAGCCAGGCCAGAGCCTCGGTGGAGGTGATCTTTTTTTTTGTTAGGGCGACAGGCGAAAATCAATGCGCGCGCGGATGTTATCCATAAAATTAAGTCGGCGTGGCCTTAGAGAAGCAAATACTTTGGTAGAAACCGAGGTCCTTCACCCTCCAATAAGTCCAGTAACAATTTAAGTCCATATCTTGTAAAAACGCCAGTCTTAAAAGTTGCGTTGCAATCCTTCTTCTTTCTCCACGAAGATAAACCCTTCCTCCTTCACATCGATTCACCCCCTTCTCTTTCAGTCTTTCCATTGACCATCCTGTATGAATATTTCTCTTTTCAAGGCAATTTGTCTCAATTGTAGAGACGACGTCAATTTTATGTTGCCAAATGCCAAAGCATTGATAGAATCAATTCAACACGTATCAGTTACATGTCCATTTACAAGAAGACAAATAACAATTTCTAAAAAAATTGTTGAAAATATTTAATATTATTCATCAAAACGACTATGTTGATATCGTTAACCGACCTCATCACCGACAAACAGCATACACAGGTCCGAAATATCTAATTCCATGTTATTGTATGTTTTCTATTTAACAGCTATAACATGCGAGCCTCTGTACATCAATCAGCCCAAGTTGTCCATCAGCTGCACAAATGGCTTCAACTTTGGTTCCACCTGTAAGTTCGCCTGTGAGTCTGGCTACCCATTGGTTGGGATGATGAATACGTCATGTGAACTGACGGGAGACAACACTCCACGCGGAAAGTGGATTCCTGAACTGAAGGAGAAAAATCCTACATGCAAAGGTACAGATGGATCATTTGAATGCTGAGATTTTTATTACACTTTTTGGCGACGTCTCAGGGAGGAGCCTAATGGTACAGTATTGTGTGCAGTTTGCAAGAATTCTAGGAATGGTACAGGCATTTTGTCCACTAGGGATGGAATGTCCACAGGCATTTCTCTGACCCACATCTGTGTCCACATTCCTGGAAACCCTTGGGAAGACCGCAGGCATGTCTCTGACCCACATCTATGCCCACATTCCTGGAAACCCTTCTGCCCCGGATGGCCCTACTTTCTGTGACCCTGGGGCTCGTTCACTATACACTCAGAGGAGGAGTGCACTGTATCTGTCTAGACTTATCAGGTACCAAGTCTTCCTCAAAATCATGAAATCATGGCAGTGCCATGGAAACAATAACCCTAACAGCAACCACCGTCGCCATGGCAATGCATGTTTTCATTACCAGTCTTGTTGTTTTTGCTCTGTTTCCTCTTCTCCAAACACCAAAGGTCAATGACCTGAACCAGACGGCTGTGACCATGGTAACTGGTGTTGGGTTACATCATGTTGCAATTTCATAGCAGGAGGGATTTAGATCCCCAGATCCTGTCTGGCCATAAATATATAAATGTGTTTGAGTGAGAATTAACAGTCCATATGACCATATGCGAAGGTAAACATTATGCATCTGCTTTGCAAATGTTACCTTTCTAGTTAGATATAGTTATTATGTAACAACCCTTTGCTTATAGTATGATAATAGTAATAAACGTAAGAAAATGTAGATTTTTTAAATAATAAAATGTCAAGCAACTAACAACTTTTAATGCATTAGCATTATTCGTTTTATACGCCACATGACGACTGTTAGGTGAACAATGGTATGTCTACATCTGAAAGCAATCTTATTAAACGCAAGCTCCTGATTTATCACCGTTTTCTGGCTCAGGCCATGTTTATTTGACGATATGAATGAAATCCTCTGGGAACCTTAAAACTATTGCGAGCGTGCGAATAAAAAATGTTTCGCAAAAAAAGTTACCATTATTATGAAATTTAGGTGGTCATAAAGGATGAATAAATGAATAAACACACAGAGTTATACTTTATTGGCATGGTTAATAATAGGCTCTTCTTGTCCTTTGAAATTGATTTTTTGATTCTGCGACATCAGTATCGTTTTCCGATTTTTTTCAATTTACGGCATCTATTTGCTCATTTTGCAGCTACTTTGTACGATTTACAGTATGGTCTAATTTTTTTTCGGAAACGGACGCGTGGATGTCATGCGCGCGTGGATGTCATCCATATAATCAAATCAACATGGCCTAACTGATGTTGTGTTTTTCATGGTTTGTTGCAGTGTTGAAATGCCCCCCGTTACGGCTTCCGAAGAACGGTGCTATCTCGTGTAGCGGGTGGGCCCTGGGCGAGACCTGTCAGCTACAGTGTGCAGACAGGTACGACATCCCGTACAACATGCCCAGTAACGGTCTCTGGGTCTGCTCAACTACCAACGGCGTCTGGGCGCCGGACGACCGGGTCCTGGATTGTACACGTGAGTAAAACAATATTCATATTTCCTAAACGATTAAAAGCAGAATATATTGATCTTTCGTTCAATTAACATCGCAACCATCACACCTAGATGGTGTCCATTCTTACCATCATATGTCTTTAATATACATTCTCTCGCATTGCCTGTAATCTGCTGCATCAGACGTATGACACAGTTCTGGCCTCCGTCAATTTGTGGAAGTCCACGTGGCTGTCATGTGACGATCACGTGCCGGTTTAGTCCTATTCATGTGATAAGCACGTGTATGCCCAATCCTGACTATATGTTGGTGTGTTATGTACCTCGTGCAGTATAGCTAGGCTTTTACGATAGTGTAACGTTGTGGGTGTGTATTGTGGTCTGCTGATTTACCGTAGGCCGGAGGAACCCCAGGCGGCTGAGGCTCCCAGGAGAGCTGTACTACTACAGCGGCAGCTGCGGTGATCTGGGCTCACTACAGGAGATACGAGAGAACTTCATCAAGGCTTTGAACATCTCTGCTTACTCCGAACTCTGCCTCAAGTTTACCGAGTGCACCGCAACAAACGTCAATGTCACGTGCGGTCCTGTCACTCGCAGGTTGGTTAAAACTTATATGACGTAGACTGCCCACATCGCTTAACTGTAGATGTAATGTGTAAAAAAAGTGACATTCAAATCTGTGCCTATATATTGTGCTAAGGCTATATACTTTTTTGCATTGAACAAACAATAATAGCTAAGAGAATAACTAACGTTACTACATTCACTTATTAATACGTGTTACAAGACTTTTTTTAATATGTTTTTGTACCGTAGAATTCTCGTCAGTTCTCTTTTGTCCAAGAAATATATATATTTTCTGACAATGGTGTTTCAACCGTTACTTAAATTCTCCTCTGTATGTATAGTGTGTTAGTCTAAGACCATATGTATCGTCAAGCATTGTCTGTTGTTAATTGTTTGGGAAACTAACGACGTTTATTTATTTATTTATTTCATTTTAACACACCTGGGTAGCCCAACTCAGCTTTGACAAGTTGGTTTTCAGTCTAGTAGGGCCCAGTTTTCAGAAATAATAAAACATAAGTTAATACTTAAACAGAAGTAACAGAGAATTGTATGCAAAACATAAATAACGCAGGTAACCAAATTATACAAAATAAATACATGAGATTACTTAGAATCTCAAAACCGTAGAGAACAAATCAAAATCGCTGTCCGTTACTCAAAAGCCATTGATCGGTCAAGGTCGGTTATTCCTGTGGAGGTCAGAGGTCATATGTAAGACTGTAACGATTTTACTTTTTTTTTTACCTTCAGAGCCCGAGGTGTGCAAGCTGCGGCAAAATACCGTGTCCGAATAGGGTTCCATTTACAGATCACACCATCAGATGAGTCACTCCTCACACAGCAGGACATGTACAAACTGGAGGAGACTCTGGACATGATGGCAACAACGGTTGAAGACGAAATGAGAGAAGGGCGGTTCAATTTGGACTCCGTGGGGGACATGGCTTTGGATTTGGATGTATACTCTGTGTACTTCGATCATCCAGAGATGGAATGCCCGTATGGGACCGTGGCCCGCTACAGTTCACACTCATGCGGTTAGTAGCACCAAAATTTTATAGTAAAAAATTCAACTTTATTCCAACACAAGGGTTACAGAGCGATCAAATTTTCGACGACTTTTGATCAATTGCTTACGTCACGTATCAGTAAAGTCTCGTGTGAATAAGGTCACGTGTTTGTAAACCGTAACTCTCGCGAGATCATGTTGTGAAGTGATTTGTCATTAATTATCCTGATGAAGGCGACAGTGGTCGTCCAAAATTTGATCGCTATGTAACCCTTGTGTTGGAATAAATAAAGTTCAATGTTTTACTATGATTACTATCAACACAGATGAACTTTCATGAGCACCAGAATTTGTTATCAATTAACCATATATATACTATAAATAATACAAACTCCGGCACGCCTGGACAGCCTGTATAATCGGTGTTCTGTTAACGGTGTTGATCACTCATGATCACCTTAAAATAATTCAGCCTGGTTATATTAGGTATTGCAAAAAAATGCTCTTTGCAGCTGAGAACTATTCAAAACATCAGAAATAAAAAGGGCCTGTGGTACATGAGATTATGCCTTTATCATTATTCATGTGCAGTTTTAGCCTCCTGTGATAATAGTTTTTTAAGGGATCTTTTTGAACAGATCTCGTGCGCATGCATCGTATGAGACATTGATTCCAGTAATCGTTCTTTCACAACAGCTGAAAAAGGTTTAACATTTGAAGCTTTTGTTTAAAAAACGAAATTTTCGTCACTACAGCCAGCTGTTCCACCGGGACGTTCTACGATGGGACAGCTCAAGACTGTATGGAGTGTCCCCGGGGACAGTACCAGGACCAGGATGGACAGCTGCTTTGTAAAAGCTGTCCACCTGATACATCAACTGTACAGACAGCTGCAACCTCAGCACTTGACTGCAAAGGTTGTCTTTTGTGTCTGTGTATTCGTAGCTCCGAATGTATTATAGCTTTGTATATTTAGATATATCTATGTATGATATTTCGAGGGGTGAACTAAGTTACGAATAGAATACATGTACTAGTTGGCTCGCGTGTGTCAATTACAAACAATTGTAGAAATTGATAGCTTCAAGAAGTCATAGTAGTTTTTTTTTTGTCTTTTTTGTTTCAAAATAATCCAACAGTGTAGACAGAGCAATTTAACGTAGGTTGCTGAGCCTTGTGGTGGTGAGTTAGACCAAACGTTGTACTCATTGTTTTCAAATTGAAGTCTTTTAATTCGCTAGAGCATTTGACACTGCTCTAGCAGCTCTAAGACTATGAAATTGAAGCAAACAAACATTGATAATACGACCATTCACAAACTGAAATGAATTCACAATTCATCGTACTTTTGAACGCTATTTTTAAAAAAGAATACAGCGTATGCCCTGATGAAGATGACAGATGGTCATCGATCGAAACGTCGGGTCGTAAAAAAATGGTTGTGATCAAAGAACTTTGCTTTTCATTTGTTTACCAACCTAATGAAATCATTTACGGATTTACAAAGTATGTTAGAAATGAAATGAGATGTGGAAGAGGTGAAAGACAAATTTATATCATAGGACACATGTCTCTTTCTCTATGTAAAGATATTTATTCGCGAAGTAATTATGTTTACCTAAACATAACAGGGTATTGTCCACCTGGGAAGTACTCCGTCACAGGCCTCAAGCCCTGCTCCACATGTAAAGTCAACACTTACCAGCCTGAAGCGGGCAGGACATTCTGCCATCCCTGTCCGAATGAGACTGTAACAACGTATGCGGGGGCAACGTCGTCCAAAGAATGTTATGGTACGTCAGTTATTATCAAGGCCACAACGACTTAATTTTATGGATGCCATCCGCGTGCATTAATTTTCTAGTCTCTACCAGACTAACTACGCTGGCTATATATAGGAGAATATCTGCCAAGGGAGTTTGGGTTTGACTATCGGAGGGAACGAAACTACCGCCCCACGGCCGGACTCCCTTGGCCCATTGATTCTCTTTTTTGCCGAATTCTACGATCCGTCTTCCCGTAGAAAGGCCTGGTGGAGGCTATTCATTTTCGCCTGTTCTCTCTAAAAACAAAGATCACGTCCTCTGGCCTGGCTATAGGTCTGGGTATTCCATTGTAGTTAGCGACAATACGGAGCTGGCTGTATCTCTAGAGGATGAGACCCAGGCTACCGAAGATCCTCTACTCTAAAATTCAGTACATAATTACGTACTGTGCTGCATGGTTAATAAATTCCGCAAAAAGCCAGCATGTACCGGCTTGTCGTATACGTCGCTTTGTACTGCCGCAAATTCACAATACCAGCTTTGTATTCCTGTGGGTAAGTAGCATTTTCATTTTTGGCCGGATTTTTTTTTTAAAATTCACTCGCCTACACTAGTTTGGGGGTCTTCGGAGGATTTTTCCTTAAAATTAAGTCTTCCGTGCTCTATGCAGAGTATAGGGTTTGGTGCCCATGTCCATTTCCGTAGCCCTTGGGCGACACAGTTGTACAAGGCACTACAGCAGGGGGCTGGTCCGCTGGTAGTGCTGTGTGTTTGACCTTTCCACACTCTGTCTCATATGTGCTGAATACTAAGCAGAGAAAGAAGTGTGTACCATTTTTTTTAAGTATTTGGTATGACCCGGTCGGGGTTTGAACTCAAGACCTCCCGGTTACAAAGCGAACTCTCTACCAATATGACCATAACATTAAATCGGTGTGGCCTAATCTATATAAAAAGAGATTTTGATTTAATCGTAATAACTAACTTTTGTTCCGATAGTTAACCCTCCTTTCTGCATCCAATACAGTTTCTTCAATCCTAGAGTATGTACCAGTCATGTTACAGTTACCTCTTGTTACTTATATGCATTATCAATTTTGGTTGAACCTAAATTATTATTATTTATCATCTATGTTACATTTGATTTGATTTCTGTATTATGACCAGTACTACTTAATTTCCGTACGTATTTATTTACCTATATATTATATTAAGTTATAATTTATGTTATATCTGATTCTGACTGATGTACATTTTTAGTTGTTATGAAATTATACATGTAATTGTCGGTGTCTTATAAGCCCATATGGGCTGGGCGACGCATGGTCACAATGACACGTAAATAAACATTCATTCATTCATTCATTCATTCATTGGTTCATTCATTGATTGATTGATTGATTCATTCATTGATTGATTCATTCATTCAATCATTGATTCATTCATTCATTCATTCATTCATTCATTCATTCATTCATTCATTCATTCATTCATTCATTCATTCATTCATTCATTCATTCATTCATTCATTCATTCATTCATTCATTCATTCATTCCTAGAGCCAATACCTCCTGACGGCTGTACAGACTGTGGCACTGGTCTGGACAGCACGGTGCAGAGCGATGTGGCGGATACAGACGGATGCAGTGAGGACATGTGTCAAAATAACGGAACGTGCGTGGATGGAGCGGTGTGCCAATGTCCGGACGGGTTCAGCGGTGATTTCTGTGAAGCAAAACAAGGTGAGAATGATTACTATTGCCTGGCATCTGTTGTCCTGGCAAGTGTCGTCATGGGCAAAGACTACTGCGGGTATTCACATGCTCTACAGCACCTCGGACTGACAACACTTGCCTCTAGGCGTGAACAGCTGACTCTGAAGTTTGCTAGGTCCTTGCTAGGCTCTGAGTTCAGGGACTGGCTTCCACCACCTAGGGCGCAGATCACAGGAAGAGTGACACGCAACAACCACAAATTGAACTGTCCGAAAGCCAGAACGAACCGGTACTTGAACTCCTGTGTGCCGTACATGACTAGACTTGTAATGTCTGTGTATAACCTGTCCATATTTGTAACAGCTTTTAATGGATTCCTTATTTTGAATTGTGAATTGGTTTTAATTCAGTGGCAACACTGCGATTTCCAATAAAGAGATCTTGTATCTTGAAAAAAAAGTGTACTTTCTACTTCCTTTGTGGGGTCGTGTGGAGTAGCGGCAGAGTGCTCGACTCGGAACCAAAAGGTCTCGGGTTCGAGTCCTGGCATGCCACCGATCTTGTGCCCTTGGGAAAGGCACTTAACACGAATTTCTTCACGTCGCTCAGGTGAAAATGAGTATTGTATTGTCCCCTGTGTTGGTGGCTGCATTAATATAAGTTGAAAAAGACTTGAGTGTGCCGTCACCACGTCTGGTGATTACATGTTGGAATATAAAATACAGTGTACTTCCAACTGATTCATTATTAACTTACAACATGTGTTTGTATCATTCATTTATGTGTAAATAGGTTGACGTATGTACAGTGTAATGTGCTGGTAACTTAAAAAAAAAGAAACTCTAGTGTAGTGATCCGTAAAAAAAAAATCATCGATCATTCAACTAAAACCGTTGCTAGCGAAATGCACAACCCAAATATTGCCATATTGACATGTAAGGGATCCTTACTTTGCTTTATAGTGTCGTTTTAATAGTCATTTTCTAATCTACAGTAGATGGGGCCTGGTGTCCGTGGGAGGACTGGGACCCCTGCAGTGTTACTTGTGGCTCTGGGATACAAACTCGTCAACGTCACTGTGCATGTCCGCCCCCTGGTGATTTTAGGAAGAACTGCATCGGCGATAAGATGGAGGTCCGTGTTTGCAAGAGAAAGAAGTGTCCAGGTATATCTTCAAAAAATCATAAAACATTTTATAACAACATCGTTTGTTTCATGGATGGAACAATGTCCCTACAGTTATTCATATTCAAGAATTTCCTCCTAGGCCATGTTGAGTTGATTATATGGATGACATCCGCGCGCGCATGAATTTTGGTCCGTATCGTCGGTCGAAAAACGATCCTAATGTCATAGAATCCCGACATCAATTTAGGAAAAAAAAGGGAAGAAATAAAAATGAAGAGTCTATTATTATTCACCATATCATACTTTGTTTTTTTAGTCATTTATTCAACCTTTGTGACCACGTCGTAGATTTCATAAGGCCGGACACTTTTTTTTTGAATAACTTTTTTCCCACGTTCGCGTCAGTTTTGGGGTTCCCGAAGCATGTCAAATCAACATGTAATCAAATCAACATGGTCTTATTTTCTTTAATATGCATCTGACGGTCTTAACCATATCCTGACATAGCCTGCACGCCCCTGAAAAGTCCGCCAGGTGGAGTTGTGTCCTGTAGGAGCAGCGCTACCACAGGCCTACGAAAGACCATAGGTACAATTTTTTTCTTGTATGAGTTTTATGGGTACTTCGAGTTTCTATAAGTACTTAGAGTTTCTATGGGTACTTAGAGTTTCTATGAGTACTTAGAGTGTATGAGTACTTAGAGTGCTCAAGTTCCCATACAAACTCTAAGTTCCCATACAAACTCTAAGTGCTCATAGCAACTCTAAGTTCCCATACAAACTCTAAGTGCTCGTAGAAACTCTAAGTTCCCGTACAAATTCTAAGTACTCATAGAAACTCTAAGTAATCATAGAAACTCTAAGTATCATAGAAACTCGAAGTACCCATAGAAACTCGAAGTACCCATAGAAACTCAAAGTACACACACAAGAAAAAAAATAATAATTGTACCTTTGGTCTTTCGTACTACAGGCCTGACCAGCTGCAGCCTGACGTGCCGCCCGGGTCACATGTCTGTCCGGGAACCTCTGCTAAACTACGAATGTGGGGAGAGAACAGGTTACATGTGGCCGCATCAAAACGCACTGAATCCAGACGGAAAGCTACCAGCTTGTGGACGTAAGATTAATTTCTACTTCGACTTGAATTCGATTGATAACATTCATTGGCAGATTTGAAGACATGGTATGTGTCATTCATTATAAATCATAATATGATAATTTCGAATGTTGTATTAGGTTAATAATTACCGTCACTTCTGCCATGTTCTTTTTGGTTAGATTTATAGATGCGACGTATAGATATTTATATTGTAGTTGTAATAATTACAATTAAAGATAGATTCGAAAATTGAATTATTATTGTAATTTCTTTGTATCATACAGAAGGTAGAAAGAAGGCAAAAAGAAATTACAAAGGTAACTTCAAAACATGGTGGAATATCTAATACGTCATTGTCAAGTAGGCATCTTATCAGCCATGTGAAGAGAAATATTCAAGGTTATTGGGGAATTTACATAGTGTTATTACTCCGTGAAGGAGGTCATGACCTCCGGGCGGAGTATTGTGGGCAGTCGTTTTTTCGTGTTCGCAGCTAGAACAAGGGGTTCTCTTTCTTTAATCTGCATGTAATTTTATATGCCGTATGCGGGCATGCCCGTGATGATGCACAGATTTTTATTTTTGCCGTAGCTGTTTCTGCGGTCAATGTAATATTTCAGATGCACCCCTACATTTATGAGGCAAATTGGTATGGTCCAGAAAAACCCGTTGTTTGGAATAGAGGGGGGTGTTTCCTTCAGGCAGATGTTTGGAGGGCTTCATTGATGGGTAACTGTTACTGATTGTACGGACTGCGCTAATATTACTGACTGGTTTTCGGCTTGTCGCCTATGGCTTTTTGTTTTTCATCCAGGTGTTACGCTTCCCCGGCGCATCTCGCTTCACTACGAGTTCCGGTACCCTAACCTGCCGTGTGAAGCAGCTCTGGTAGAGACATTTCCAGCCGGTCCTCTGCCTTGTGTCACAGAAGGACGATGTAAACAAGCCGTGACAGTGACGTGTAACCATGACTCCAGTAGGACCACGCCCGCTTCAGTGATGCTGTCAGTCACTGCAGATGTACCTGAAGCGCTGGACCAGTATCTGTGGCAATCTGATGACATTGAAGATGGGGAACTGGACACTAGACGTACGAAATGCCAATATGTCTATAATCTGAACTAGGATTTACATAGGCAGGACGTTTGTTTGTCTGTGTCCGTAGTAATGCGTAATTGAATGATGGAAGTGGGAGGGAGGTATATTACTTGATGTACTGGCCATAAAATATCAGACACAGTTAGTAGGGTCAACAGGAAGCCATTTTTGTGGGGTCTTGTGGCGTAGCGGTACAGTGCTCGACTCGGATACAAGAGGTCCCGGGTTCGAGTCCTGACATGCCACCGATCTTGTGCCCTTGGGAAAGGCACTTTACACGACTTTCCTCACTTCGCTCAGGTGAAATGAGTATTGTATTGTGTTGTTATATGTAAATATATATATAAAAGGAAGTCATTTGCTTGGAAAATCAATATACATAAACGGATGAATTCACAACAAAAAAGATATTTACAACTTAAGTTCCTCAATGAGTTTTCGGGTGACATTTTTTGATACATAAACACTTGCGATATAATCTTTCACGAAACCAACTCTCGGAAAGCTTTTAATCTTAAAAGATTTTGACAAAATGTATTTTCATTTTGACACAGTGGCTGCTGCTTTGGATGGCTTTAAGCCAGTACTTCGTGGCGTGGAAGAGGTTCTCTCGATTGTTACAAGTGATAAGTATGTCATTAACGTTAATGGGACGGTGTACCGCGCTGAGGCGGAACCTGGACAACCAACAACGACGGTGGAATGTCCTATCGGAACTGTCAGGCTGGTAGTTCTCTGTGGTAAGCCTTTTTACGTGTCAAAACTATCCGCCATTTTCATGAAAGTTCATCTGAGTTGGTAAATTACATTATAAAAAATTTAAACTGTTCTCCAACTCATAAATTTGACTCACCTATCTTACCCAAATGCTGTGGACATGTGATTTTTCCCACGTGTGACGTCAGCAAAGGGTCAAAGGCATAAACATCAGGGCACTTCAACCATCGTTCAACCGGGACGGGGGGCGATATTGACTTCAGACAACCTTTGACCCCTATGTATGGTCATGGATCACGAAACTCTGATTGGAATGTGAAGGGTGATGGAGATTTCAGACTTCATGCTAGTTTTGTGATCTTGCATTGCATTTAGCTTTTTTTTCTCTTTGCAGTGACGTGTCCACCCGGTACGTTGTACAACAGTGGCAGCTGCCAGGAGTGCCCCCTAGGGTCGTATCAGGAACTGCAGGGCCAGACCCAGTGCCAGTATTGTCCTGCCGGTCAAACTACACTCGGAATGGGAACGGTCAGCGAGGCTGACTGCGTTTCCGAGCCGTAGAATTTTGAACAGACGGCTAAATTCATTCTGGAATGCAACTTTCTGTTGTCTGATTGTAATTAGAACGGGCAAAATTTTCTGAAAACTTCTTTTTTTTAGGTAAGACTTCTTCCCACTTTCAGAACAAATTCTTCTTCGATTAGAGTATAATATGTATCCCTTAAAAATGATGGTTTGCAAAATAAAGCCATGAATAATAAGTAATCAAGACATGATATAACTTGTTATACATTGTTTTACAACGTAATTGTTAACTCTATGTGCTTTATTTAACATACATTTCAAACAAGTTCTATTATTATTTGTTAATCTACACAGTAGAGACGGAGTAAGTGTATGAGTGAGTGAGTGAGTGAGTGAGTGAGTGAGTGAGTGAGTGTGTGAGTGAGTGAATTATGTATAGAATACCGTCCTAACATTAGCACAATTGCAAATTGTACCAGTAGTAACGTTTGCTAAAGGAAAAATGATTTTTATTTTTACCAAAGGTACGTTAAGGTTAGCCTTGTATCATACGGCATGCAACATTTAACCAAAAAATTATATATTGACGTGCTCGGTTGATTAAAGATAATTTACAGATTTTTAAACGCTACAACATTTATGATTTGGCAGCTTAGTTAAATGAAAAGGTGTGACAGGTTCCAACCAATTTTAAGGATTTTACAAATAATGACTAGTGAATGACTAATGAATAGTAACTGCACTGCAACATTCAAAGTAAAAACTCATTATTATTGCAGCAATAGGACCGAGATGCCTTGCGGTGCTTAGTTGAATGTGAAGGAAACGAGGTGTTCAATTATGCAAAGTTTCTTATAAATCCACCACGTCAGCACTAAATCTCATGATTAGTCTAGAAGTTGTTTTTCTCGCCGCCAGAGATTGTTTCGAGCACTCTTGATATTACCACTAGCTCGGGCTGGGCTGTGCAGAGGCTATCGTGTAGCCTGGACGCATTCGCGCAAAAAAAAGTAAAATTGTCCCCAGGATGTCTGACTTTGACTTTGAAGGCTGGACAACTGCGTCCGACCTGACACTGGCCACAGTTTTGGCGCTTGTAGAGAACGATCTCGCCGAGAAGGAAGCCCTTCTCTGCGTCACCCCGGAGATGCTGAAGGGGCTCGGCCTCACCGTCGGTCAGTACGCGCTGCTCTGCCGGGCTACTGCGCGGCTTCAGGCGGCGGGCCCGGCTGCGACTGCCACCCGGGCAGACACCACCTCAGCTGGCCTCAACCAAAACCAGGACCAGACCGGCCTACTGGGACAGGAAGACCCGGAAACGGACGAGCTCCACAACCCAAGCCCCGAACAAGGTGAGAAAAAAGAATGGGATACAAAAATACAATATTATCAAATCAAGCAAACTACAGACGGATAGTTATTTCTGGTAAGGCGCATTTTTTGTTTGTTGGCATTATGTGTTGCGCCCGAGTTTTGTTCGTCAAGTAGGACAGTAGTTTGTAAAACACACTGGGATGGACGTAATCTTATCGATGATTGTGGGGGAATCTTGAATGTATGCATATATATACTCCAGATGTAGCTATCCACTTTACACCCTAATCGAGAGGACAATGCATTTCTTACCAAGGCAAGGTGATTTTTTTAACGAGGAAATAGGTATTTTTTTTTTATTTTTCGGGGTAAAACCGTAAAAAATTGTTTTCCGTAAAACTCAGAGGAATACAAAAAGTGCCCATGATAGAATATTAATGTCTACTAAGACCTGGCAACAACACTAACGTCAGAATGACATGCATATTTAAGCTGTCTGCCATCTTGGATCACCGGTGCACCGGCCAAGTGGGTAGAGTGCATTGCATTCGGTAGGCCGTCAGTTCGATTCCCGTTAATACCAAAGTCTTTTAAACTGAAACATATTGCTTTTTTTGCTTAGCACTCAGTATTTGGGAATTTCCATGTTAGAAAGGAAATGTCATTAAACATAAAACGTACAAATCCTTAATGTTTCAACCGAAATTCCTGACTTTTCCAAAAACTGCTTGTCAGAATGTCAGAAACCGGTTGCCATGGCAACACGAAAATAAATCAACGTTTCTAAGAATAAGAAATTGATATATTTTAGGAAAAGTTAACAAATTTGACGGTTCTAGTGCAAGCCGTTCAGGCGCTATCTGAGACGAAAGTTGGCGCGAGCTTTAAAAGACGTCCCCCCCCCCCGTCTGAATAGGGTTTACACATTTAATAGAAAATTTAATGAAATTGTAAAATGTATATTAATTATTCAAAACAGGTTGGGATTGAAACAGCTGTTATTCCTTAATTCCTTTAACAGCGGCGCGCAGTCAAATCATACGAAGTACAAATGTGGCATATTCAATAAACGACGAGGATCAATTTGAAAATACCACACCGGCACATTATGGAGAGTCTTGCAGAGTAAACACCAAACTCGGTGCCGTGTACAAAGCGGCTGCCGAAGAAACCGAGACCAAAGTCACTCCCACAAATGTCGACCTAAACAAGGAACCCCAGGTAGACCCAGTCACCAGAGGGGGTGGTGCGCCAGATGAGAACAGCCATGATGACAGAGGGAGTATTGCTCCAGATGAGAACAGCCAGGATGTCACGGAAGAACCATACTCTGTCACATATTCATATGAGAATGAAGGATATTGTACCAACTCGGCTTCCAGCCTGCAACAACCAGAAGGGGCTTCTGAACAATCAAACACTGCTCCTGACGCGCCTACCAACCCACAGGACGTTCTCCGTCCTAACCCCTTGTACCATCTCCAGCTGGCTGAAAGTAAGGATTGATTTTACATGTACTTACTTTTGTATTTTTTTGTCCAAACAAATCGATAGTACAAAATGCTTAATATATGTCACTTCTGTATATATATATATATATATATATATATATATATATAGTAGAGAGAGAGAGAGAGAGAGAGAGAGAGACACATATCGACAAAATAACATTTGAGGTTGCAATAGACTTAAGGCCACACCAATTTAATTTGTTGGTTTTCAGATTCGCCTGTTCTTTTTTTTCTACTTTACAAAAAAAAAGATTCTGGTTCTGAATCAACTAAATGCTCAGTATTTTGCCGGCCCCAAACAGTTCAGGAAAGTCCTTTTCTTCCCAGTTGTGACAGTTTTATTCCATCTATCAACGCAGTGGTTGATTAAAAGTTTCAGGCTTCCTAATGGCTGATAGGACCTAGCAGTTCTTTAAATATATATATATATATATATATATAATATAGATTAACTTGTATATTTTGTATATATGTATATTACTTGTATATTTTATCACAGTATAGTACCAGTTTTGAACATAACCACCATGTTAGGGCTACGTATACAGGCTTGCCGATTCTTTACTTTTCTTTGTCCACTCAAATATAACAGGATTTCCCTTAGTCTATCGGCACCGCTGGTACATAGGCCTGCTGATCCTCTCGGTTATGGTAGGTGTCATCACTTCAGCTTGCGTCATAGGGCTACAGAATAAGGACATACCCAAGGTAAGGTTCTTTTTACCTCCATGAAAAATGGAGGCATTGTTTTTGGAGCGTCTGTCTGTCTGTGTGTCTGTGTGTCTGTCTGTCTGTGTGTTTGTGTTTCCGCACATTTGTAGTCAGCATAACTTTATAGCGCCTTCATGGATTATGATGGTATTTGGTATGTTGGTAAGTCTTAGGAAGACAAAGGTCTAGGTCGAATATGAGCCTCTTGGAACTCTTGTTGCCTTTTGAAACCAAGCCGCTGAATAACTTTACTGTTTCACTCAACTTTAATTTGTCTGCCCAAACAATATAAGAAGTGATGTCACGACTTTTGAACTAGTGTGTTTGCTATAAAATGAAACTTATGTATTACTTAAAACTGTTCAATATTTCCTATCCTGCCCCATGTTACATGTAATGTTTGTATTTTTTCATTTTGTGCACGCTATTAGCATACTTGATGCCTAGTGCACTCCTTGTATTGTTACAATTTTCAATAGATAAAAAATACGGCTTTCAACGTATCTGTAGTACCAATGTGCCATGTCCAAGTCTTTTTTATGTTTGTCACACGTCTCAGTTGTTTTTGGATTGCATTTAAGGACCCGTTTTCACTTTACACACACACACGATCCATGGTCCACTGCTACTGCAGCTGTTACCACAAGAACCCATACTAAGGTACAGGCATCTTGTATCCATCTGTAACCATCTATTTCTCTAAGGCAACGGTGGACTCAAAACGCAACGTTTTCGTTCTAGATGACTGGAAGAGGTCTATTCACAAGTTTGACATGCACGGACGTCTCCTCTCCGTATTTGAAAGAAAACCACGAGGAACTGGCTACCTCGAGTACCCCATGGACATCTGTGCGGATGGTTTGGGCCACTTAATCGTTACAGTTCATATCTATTAATGTTCAACTTGACTTCAAAATGTCACAAGAATTAAATTACTATCATTGACGAATATGGAATTACGGTTATGCGGAGTTCGCATATTATGTCAACAACGTGCATCATGTGACAGAAGATATATGCCATTAAACACATACTGATGCAACAAAAGGATCATCAGTTACAGCTACGAGCCTACGGACACAAGTCACAATGCTGACCTCCTAAATATAAATGCTCTTTTGCAAGATTATCACACAATAATTACGTTATGAAAAACTTAAACTTTTCTCCAACTCAAAATTTGACTCACCAGAAATTTTCGACTGCATCACTCAGTCTTCCTCAGCTATCTGACCCAAATGCTGTGGACACGTGATTTTCCCACGTGTGACGTCAGCAAAGGGTCAAAGGTTGTCTGAAGTCGATATCGCCCCCCGTCCCGGTTGAGCGTGTCCACAGCATTTGGGTCAGATAGCTGAGGAAGACTGAGTGATTCAGTCGAAAATTTCTGGTGAGTCAAATTTTGAGTTGGAGAAAAGTTTAAGTTTTTCATAATGTAATTTACCAACTCAGATGAACTTTCATGCTAATAATTACCTTTATCTGAAATGAGCAATACCAGAGCCACATCAGCTTCTGTTATGTACTTTATTTCATCTTCATCATTATCGTAATTCTAAGGTCTCCAGAGAGGTTCTCCCTTGAGTAACTCCAGTCTTATAACTTATAACCTCTCAGTATGTCCTTATCTTAAGGTTTACACGCCTAGCTGTGGTACTTACAATTCGAATTGTAGAAGTAACGTTAATGGTATTTACTTTTTTCTTCTGTACAGCAAAGATTTTTTGTCGATAAACGTAATCTGAAACTTTAAAGAACATACCAATATCATTTCAGTGTCACATTTGTAATATCAAACCGTTCAGTCAGTATATTATAGTTCAGGTCTCCGCTTTAACCCTCAACAGTACACCTTCCCGGACTGATTAATCTGTACACCTGGGGTCCGCGCGGACCCCAGAACAGTTTTTTGCTAATTTTTAGAAATTATCAACATACTACCAGCTCAATTGTTTTGCAAACTGATGTGGGAACCTCTGTGTCCACATTACATACAAAAATCATACATTTTAAACTTTTTCTATTTTTTGGTGAAGAAAAGAAGACAAGAAGAAATACCCGATTTTTAAACCCATTTCAGACTGAAGGGGCTTTTGAGGCCCAACTTTGATCTCAGATAGCGGCTAAACGGCTTGCGCTAGAAGTATCAAATTTGGAGACCTTTCCTAAAATGTCTCTGGAAAAAAGTTCATATTAGTTTAATACTTGTAAGTTGATGTTTTTTTGTGTTGCCATGGCAACGGGCAGTTTTTTTGAAAATAGAAGTAATTTTGGTCTAAACATAAAAATTTTCTGAGTTTTATATTAAATTACACTTTTTTCCAACATTAATAACATCTTACATAATCAAATATAAGTTAAATCATTTAATATGCATAGAATATGCTAATTTGATGACGTCATTGGTCAAAATCCAATATGGCGGACTAAATTATTAGCTCTGACGTCATATGACGTCATAATTACACCAAAGTTATTAAATTTAATTCTATTACTACACCATTCTCTGAAAACTTGGTAGACATACGATGAGTGCATAAAAACATATAAAAACGGAAATAAGGTACTGTATAAGAACGCCAGTGTATTCATTCTGATTGAAAGCCGGCTGGGGTCCGCGCGGACCCCAAAAGAAATTCAGATATAATTTTTTTTAAATGGTAGAAACGGAGTTTTCTGCACTGTATTGAGAGACAACTTTGTGGGTGACAATTACCTAAAATTTCAGAAAAAAATCTTTACAAAAAAAAAAGATATTACAGAATATATAGTGCTGGGGTCCGCGCGGACCCCAGGTGTACTGTTTAGGGTTAAGAATGCCGAATCCTCTTTCCTTACTGCTTGCGACATTCGAAGCTTCCGCTAGCCAAGATGGCGGCAAAGGATGGATCGCAGATGGCCGGAGAAACGCACTTACTGTAAACCAGCCCGGCCCTGAAAGAATATGGAATATGGAAAAGACGACATGTAGATTATGAAATAAAGACTGAACTTTAACTTCCAACACTAGATATAGAATTGGGACTTACCCCAAATTTTCGGTTGACTCCATCAACCTTGTTTACGGAATGGACCCGTCTACTCTTGAAACGTGACGTCAGAGACACGTGACCGTAGTAGCAGGTCATACGTGCCAGATAACTTGTGTCGCCCACCGTCTCTGTTCAGGGTAGGTCTGTGAGCTCTTATGTGGACCGCCTCCTTATCTCCTATTGCAAAGAAGTCCGATTCTGAATCAAGGATTTTAACCCCTTCTAGAGATACTGAATGTCCTGGAGACTCAATGTGAATATGTTGTGAATATGTTGTGTCTCTGACGTCACGTTCCAAGAGTAGACGGGTCCATTCCGTGAACAAGGTTGATGGAGTCAACCGAAAATTTGGGGTAAGTCCCAATTCTATATCTAGTGTTGGAAGTTAAAGTTCAGTCTTTATTTCATAATGATTTGTACCAACACAGATGAACTTTCATGCTACGACATGTAGATGTTGCTACTACAAACAACAGAAGTTTTACACTTTGGGGTAAAGATAGTCAGCAAAGTTTGAATATGTACCGCATATTCACCATTGAACATGGATATAATGTTGGTTTTAGTTTAATAGTTGTAAATAGCAACATAATTCAGACATTTAGTGGTAAGTTGTATGATAAATAAAGTTGTCAAAGATTCTTTGGTATATATCGACGATTTTGCCGTAAACGAAATTTGAGACTTTTGCCCTAGATCAACAATTTGAGAACCTTCCATAAATGTTTTTTTGACATGTATCCAAATCATCAGTCTTTTTCGCGATGATAGTTGAAGTAAATAAGCAGACTGAGTTCAGATGATGGATTAACAAATACTGATGATTACTTACTACGTAAAGCTGATGTTCTGTTGACTAATGTAAATCACCTTCCAGTACAATGACAAATGACATATACAAACAATAGAGGCATGAACACAATCACAATGTTTAACCCAATTGAGTATGACAAGATGCTTGTTTATGGTATGATAAGTGTTGGAACTCAAAATAATATGATGAGTATGTGTAGATGCGTGTAAGCATGGTAAGCGTTGATGTTGTGGAAGTAAAAATAAAGCCACTCTTGAGAAAAACGATGAACAAAGATGATGTGTAATGTCGTATGAACGTTGACGTGTTGTGTAGGTAGAGCTGTACTCACGACGGGTGCCACAAGCAAAGCCTACTGCAGCAGTTACAATCGCAACTTGTGCAGTATTCTCCACTTGGAACACAACTCTGAAATCATGAACAGAGCTGAATTGAAATCAAGAGTGCGTGTACGTCTAGAACTTAGAAGTTAGTACTTCTACGTACGAAAACATTTTTTGTCTGAGTGTCATTAGATTTGTGTGTATGCTTTTCTGGGCAGAGTAGGTTGACAGAACGTGGGTTGGGGTTTTACATGCAGAATGGCAGGAGGTCAAAAGATCAATCTAAGGATCTGGGGTAAACGTAAATCTGACCAGGAGCCAACAGGAATTTGAAGTTGAAATGGGGAAGCCAAGGTTTGCCCTCCAACCTTGCACAATTTCTGTCCAAATCCCAATTAAAGTACTTAATACAATCTTCTTGGTTGGTCCAAGAAAACCTAAATATTTTCTTGAAGTCTAAAATCTCTATTTTGTTCCCCAAATAAGATGTGCATTCATGTAGGCAGTACTAAGTCCACAGAGGACTTTCAGTGTAACTAACATTCATCATACATCGATAAAAATTACCTTGGTGGAGCGAACCATGTCTTGGTCAGGTCCGAAGTAGTCGGGAACTAGTCGCCACTTGTTCTCGTCATACTGTTCTAGCAGTCTGTGAATAAGACGACATATGCTTAATCTTTTTTTTGTAACGTACCTTTAGCTTAAAAATGCCTATTTGGCCATTTAGGCCACACCGACTTTATGGATGACATCCTTTGAAGACCCTCAAAAAAGTCTGGCCCAAAATTAAAAATGCTACTAAACCACAGGGATGCAAAGCAGGTATTGTGAATTTGCAGCAGTACATAGCGACGTACACGACAAGCCGGCACATGCGGGCTATTTGCGGAATTTATGAATCGGCACTGTACGTATGTACTGAGGTCTTGAGTCGTGGAGCCTTGGCGCCATCGGTTCCATCCTCCAGCGTTGCCACCGGCTCCGTACTGTCGCTAACTACCATGGAGTACCCAGGCCTAGAGCGAGGCCAGACGTGATCTTTTTCTTCTCTCAAAACAGGCGAAAATCAGTGCGCGCGTGGATGTCACCGATACAATTAAGTCGGTGTGGCCTTAGTTTGATCATAAGCATCTTACTCATTGTGCGAGTGAGGAAAACGCTATATATCTAGATGTGTGAGTTGATGCATCTGATGTGTAAAGTTTACAACATTATTGGACTTACTTAGTTTTGTCCGAGCCTCCTTTGTTCATCCTGGCTCTTCCGGCGTACACCCAAGCTGGAGGCCGAACCACATTCTGGTCATCTACAGTCTCCTAAGATAGTTTGTGTATATTAACATAAAAGACACGCCAGCTACACTTTATTATTCCACTGGGCAAAGAGCTATGCATTAGAAGTAACTACTTTGTGAGAGGACTTAAGGTATCTATCAAAGCACACCAGTTATCAATCATCACAGACAACAAGTGCTCTAAACTTGCTATCTAATTACTTGCTTACGATACGCGAACGTGTCGTTAAGAAACGTAACTTTGGCTGAGTGTTTGTTCATTTAAATTATGAATAGTTTCATGCATTATTTATTGAGCATTACTGTGTACAAATCCGTCTAAATAGACAATTCTAAACGTAGCATTATAACGTAAAACAGCGAAAGGATATGGACTCTGATTAGCACATATTTTACCCACCCAGCCAGTGTCATCTGCTTGATACTTGTTACGACTGGCCTCTTCTCTTTCAATTTCTGCTTCCAACATCCTTTGGGACAGGAAAATGTATTAGTAACTACCTTGCAAATCATATCCTTATACGGGAATGAATTGCTCTCTACAAATATAAAAGAATTTAATTTTATACAAGATGATACATGTTTATTGTTTATTGTTTATTTAAGCAGAGAACACATCACCCTGAAAGGGCGGTTTTCAATGCACCCTGGGGGGCAATCCCCAAACACAATGAAATAATAACAATATAATACAACATAAAGTAATCACTGAAGAAACTTATGTACAATCAAGGGGCAAATTAAAATAAGGTAACTTAAGCACGAACTTAAGTAACAGAAGAATAAGCGGTCCAAAGTAGCCAAACATCGAATAATATCAATTCAATCATACAGAAATCAAAATAAATAATAAGTGAAATAAGGAAAAATTTCATATCAATGTACAATTGGCAGGCAGTCTTGTACTTTAATTTTATAACGCTCAGGAATAGATAACATTGTACCTTGCTTGCTGCAGTACCCAGGGTGGAGGCATGCGGCGCTTCGCTCTATCGGCGTACACCCAGGGAGGAGGGCGAAACTCCTCATCCTCAGTACCGTCCTGCGGAAGACACCGTTAGGTCACTTCAATTTAATTCCTTGGTTCCCGGATTTTTTTTCAGAAAAAAATATGAAGCAAAAAGGCGAAAAAATAGGCTTCCCATTATAGCCCCGAATGCTACGATGGGAGCCATGAAGTCAACAAAAAATGCTGAGTTAATTTTTAAGAATGAATTTTGAACATTCAATCAAACCACTGCATTGATAGATGGAAAACTGTAACAACTAGGAAGAAAGGACTTTCCTCAGCTGGTGAGGGCAACATATGAGCATATTTGAGTTGATTCAGAACCATAATCTTTTTTTTATTCAAATCAGAAAAAAATGAAGAGGTAAATCCGAGAACCAACAACTTAAGCTGTTGAGGCCTTAATGTATTTCAGACACCAGTATGTAAAATAGGAGTCTCGTAAGCTGTTAATCATCTGTTTTCAATACAATTAGATAATATTCAAGTTCCAGTGTAAAACATTTTATATTTTATGTATTATTTTAACCCTTATGAGAACTCTGCATCCATCAGCTTATGTGCTCTATGTGGCAGAGACTGTCATACTCTTATATAACTGTTCAGCTAGCATATCCAAAGCTGTAAGGCTGATATCTTATAGGATATCACCTTGGTCAATTTTGACTAAAGGGGTCAAAAAGGAACCCTTATAACAATATAGATTTAGTAGTACTTTCTTTTCACTGCTAGTCTAATCGCAAGAAATTTAGTAAACATCATCTTACACCGCTACTACGCCATACTACGACTTACAGGCGTGTAGTAGGATGTCAAGAAAGGTGAGTCCCGTAGTGGTGCCGTGTGGCGTCTTGATTGGTCAGCGTAAACCCAGTTAGGTGGCCGGCTGTCCATCATTTCGTCCTCCGCACTTCCTGCCACCAACTCCTGTGTATAATGACAATGAAAATGAATTGCTTACGTCACGTATCAGTAAAGTCTCGTGTGAATACGGTCACGTGTTTATAAACCGTAACTCTCGCGAGATCACGTTATGAAGTGATTGGTCATTAATTATCCTGATGAAGGCGACAGTGGTCGCTGAAAATTTGATCTCTGTGTAATTGTGTGTTGGGATAAAGTTTAACGCTTTACTATGAAAATGAAGTTAATTGCATATTCATGCCCCAGTTGGGCTAAATGCACCACTTTAGTTACAAATAAGGATTAGGCAAGCTATGCTATGTTCTCTATATATCTAAGTTGTACATGTTTTTTCTCTCTTCTTTAGACAGTTTATTGCATATTCATACTTTTTGTAATGGTAAACATTCCGATACAAGTGTTTACTGGTACTCTGCTTATAGGTAGATTCTCTGTAAGCCTACTACATAGTTATTTGTAACAAATATAACATTTAATAGATACAAAACGGCCTGAACATTCTGATAGACTGTACTTGCAATACTTAATTGTGGGTCTAGGTTACATGCCATAAAGTTTTACATCAACAAAGAGTTGGCATTGCTTCCAAAAAAACTGGGCCCATCACCCTTCACTTAACCACGACGGAGGCCGACATCGTCTACCAGATACCTTTGACCCAGTGTTGACGTCACACTTTAAAGACGCCACGTGACAAGCTCACTAGGTCAGTCTACTGAGGAAGACCAGAGTGACTGGTCGAAACTCTAGGTGAGAGAACTTTTTGTGTTGGATCAAAAGTTTTAACATGTAACTGCCAACATAGACGAACTTTCATGATAATAAAAAAAAAAAAAGATTGAGTACTTCACCTCTAGCGGTCTATTTGAGTAGAGACCTGAGCGTAAGAACACGCTCCTGGGCGGGGGGCGTCTCTTATCCACACCGACGTCACGGTACAGGGCCCGGGGAGGGGGGCGTCTTTTCACCGGGTACAGGGACTCTATGTCCGACAGGAGGTACCTCGGCGGAGGACGGCGTTTATTCACGTCGTCCACTTTGTACAGTGATTTCGGTGGTGGTCTTCTCTTTTCCATTGATTCTAAAACGTAAATGTCACAGCTGAGCAAGGCAACCCCCTACTAATTAATTTACAGTATTGAGAAAAAAATCAATCATTGAGTGAACTAACACATTACAACAATCCTACAAATCAACCAGTTAGCAAACAGATTAGACTGTATTTAAATAATCTGTATTTTGTAAGTGTGGTATAATCGTTCGAGTCCTGACATGCCACTGATCCTGTGCCCTTGGGAAAGGCACTTAACACGACTTTCCTCGCTTAAAATGAGTACTGCGTTATCCCCTGTTTTGGTGGCGGCATTAATAGAAGCTGAAAAAAACTTGAGTATATAAGAGTAATATTAAGAGTAATCTGCTAAGCGATGTTAGACATATTCACCTTCAATTCCAGTATAAGGTGAAACATGTTCTTGGTCTCTTGGTGCAGAAGCATCGGCAAGCTGTTTCTCGGTCGCCTGATAAAAAAATAAACCAGTACATGTCTTGCTTAGTCCTTACTATAATCCACATGGAAAATGATCTATGATATATCTCAGATAACACTGAAAAGCTATGCCAAGTAGGAAATCTGTGTTGCCATCGGCCATTCTCTGGCCGCAAAGCTGGATTCTCTCTCACACAGACGCAATGTCGCATCCCTATCCCTCTTTTATAGATACTTTCACGGTCGATGTTCAGGAGAACTTGCACTTCTTGTTCCGTCGCTCAGAACCTTTCAGCGTGCCACTAGGTTCTCTTCCAGTTCTCATCAATACACCGTTAACATACCTGACTCCAAGTCATTTTACAACAACAGCTTCTTTCCCCGGACTGCAAAATTATGGAACTCTCTTCCAAACAGTTGCTTTCCGTCCGACTACAATCCACAAAGCTTCAAAACAAAGGTCCACCGCCATCTCCTGACATAACTATACTATACTCACTTGAGTACCTCTGGCTCTATGCCTAGAAGTGGCCAAAAATAATTGGCCTTGCATTGAGTGACACCGTTAAAAAAAGGTAGCTTACGAAAATAAGTCAAAGGCATAGCATAGATTGTGACAAAACATAGTTACACAATTATATATATATATACACATACTATTAGTTACACAGTTATTAATTATATACTTCTTGTCTTAAACTTCCAGATCAACAACAGTCACTAGACCAGTAATGATATATCTTTTATTTTAACGTTGAAAAAATTATCCAAGAGAGTATTGCCAATTATTGTTGGTAATACTAATAGTATTGCCAAAAATTATCCCACATACTAAGCCCACAGTTAGAATTTAATTAATAAGACCGGTTGAAAATTAGGAAAATGAATGTGTTTAACACATGCCACAATCGTATAGCATATTTCACAACAAGTGTTTTACCTGATAGTAGGCAGATTTCGGTGGCGGTCGCCTCTTGTCTTCTTTCTGCAGTACCATGCGCGGCGGAGGGCGGCGCTTCGCAGTGTCGTCAGTCTCAAGACCTAAGAAGATGAACGGGTGTCAACAGTTGAGGGCAAAGGTCAATATTTGGCCAAGAGATGGCAGTCTGAAACCAAATGTAAAGAAGTCTTTTTTCTTCAAAACAGTTGTTGCTGGCGACGTCTCAGGGAGGAGCCTAATGATACATTATTGTGTGCAGTTTGCAAGAATTCTAGGAATAGTACAGGCATTTTGTCCAAAGGAATGGGATGTCCACAGGCATGTCTCTGGCCCACATCTATGCCCACATTCCTGGAAACCCTTGGGAAGGCCTCTCTGCCCCGGATGGCCCTACGTTCTGTGGCCCTGGGACTCGTTCATTATACACTCAGGGGAGTGCACTGTATCTGTCTAGAGTTAACAGGTACCAAGTCTTCCTCAAAATCATGAAATGATGGCAGTGCCATGCAAACAATAACCCTAACAGCAACCACCGTCGCCATGGCAATGTATGTTTTCATTGCCAGTCTTGTTTTGGAGTTGGATGCTATAGGTAAAGGTCAAAGGTTTCAGACTTTTTTATGTGTTGAAAAACTGCCTTTCAGACATTTTCGTGTTGTCTGGTTCGCTAAGGAAGATGTAGGTCTTCATGCGGTCATCAGCTGTCCCAAGTGGTGGGGAGGGGGTTTCTCAATGTTTGGGTAGAATTCTTGCTTGGTTCCACTGTATATATAACTTGTAAAAAAACTTGAGTCTGCCGTCACCACGTCTTGTGAATACATTTTGGCATTAAAAAAAGAGAAGATTGTGGACGCCAAGATACCTGTCCCTTTTCTACAGATACTTTCACGGTCGATGTTCAGGAGAACTTGCACTTCTTGTTCCGCCGCTCAGAACCTTTCAGCGTGCCACTAGCTAGGTTCTCTTCCAGTTCTCATCAATACACCGTCAACATACCTGTCTCAAAGTCATTTTACAACAACAGCTTCCTTCCCCGGACTGCAAAATTAAGGTCCACCGCCATCTCCTGACATAACTACATTATACTCACTTAAGTACCTCTAGCTCTATGCCTAGAAGTGGCCAAAAATAATTGGCTTTGCATTCAGCGACACCGTTAAAAAAAATACCGTAAAAAGAACATCAGCAAGGTCACAGAATAGTATTATTTTTGTCTATTAGTCACATGTTAGGTACCGTACTCATTTAATTAGATTATCACTTGGTTAAGTTCCTTCGCCATCAATTGTAGACTTTGATGCATCATTCTACAAAAAATCAATATTCAACAAAGCCGTTCTCAATCGCATCAAGATATTATTGAATGATTGACTGACTGATTGATTGATTGATTGATTGACTCAATAAATGAATATTATTAGATATATGCGTGAATTGGATTTCTTTACTGCGCCTTGCGTAAAAACACCAAAATCTCAAGAGCAGAGAATTAGAACTCACTATCAACACGACGTAAGTATGCACGTACAAACATTACTTAGGTCAGGCCATGGAAAGGATATCAACACAACAGAAACATGCATATGTTATCAACTATATTCTATATTCTTTCCCTATGATGTATCAATGCCTAGTATGTATGTCACAATTACACTACGTTCCGGAATGTATTGTAAACAGAGAAAACTAGCTTAAGTGCACTATGAACTATGTAATACCTTCAGTGCACTATGCACTTAGTAACATCTAGTGTCAGTGCACAGTAAACCAATCAGTATTGCCCTGATGAAGATGACAGACGGTCATCGAAACGTCGGCTTGAAAAATAAATGGTTGTGATAGAAAGAACTTTGCTATTCAGTCGTTTACCAACCTGATGAAATTATTTACGGATATATTCTAACATGTTTAAACTTGATTAGTCATCAAAGTGACAATTTACCATCCGGTTCAAAATATTCAATAGTAAAAATTATACTTACAAGTTATTATTACAAATAAAATGATAATTATCAATATAAACCTGTTCATAAATGAACACATGTACAAGTAAATTCGGTTTATACAGATGATGCCAGCATTATTTTTTTTTACCCAGTGTGAGTATGTAAACAAGCAGGTTCAGTAAGAATGCAGATCAGTATTTTATTGTTAGCAGAATACTTTGCTATCATTTCTACTTTTATGGGACCTCAAGTGATGCATTTGAGGCACATCATCTCGGTCAAGGCAATGATTGTCAATTCTTACTAAAAATGAGAATATGTCGGTGGTTCAGGGAACAACAAAGTCTATAATCATTCAGCAGTTTATCAGATGGACCCAGATTGGTTGTTTGGAACAACAATAGAAAACTTAATGATTGAGTGAACAATTTTGTAATTTTTTAGTAATGATATGGTAGGTCGTATTGGTCCACTTTAATCGTTGGCTTATAGGTTGTTTATTTTCCTTGGAAGAAGATAATTTTTTTGTTTTTTTAGAGGCTTTTTGCGCTGTCAGTAATGACAACTATTTATTTGAAGTTCGTACTATGGATGTTGCATTCCATAACGTGTTATTCCAAATCATGTTTTGGAATGGACCACATTTTGGAATGCAGGTGCATTCCCCTTCGTTTTATTCCAAATCATGATTTGGAATGGAACACGTTTTGGAACGCAACAATTGACGCCACATAATGACTTGGAAAATTATTAGAGATCTCCTTTGCAGATAGTTCGTCCGTCTAAAGGCTTGATATGACAGAGATCGATAAAACCATTAACCCCTCCCCACTTTCTTGTGGCCTTTCAGTAGGAACATCACTTTCCACTCAACAATAGCTATAGAATCGTGTAATCAAGAAACTGCAAATAGATTACTTTTCTTTACATCATCTGTCAGTCTTTCTGCAATACTGACCTCAATAGCGCTGTAGATGGATTGATGTATTATAGAAAGCATCATTGCTGGTTTATGGTTTCAATGGCCTTTTGAATTTTGCCCAATAATTTTCTGAGGAATATGATACACTCGATCAATACTACTTTTTGGTCGCTATTTCTATCATCTATTATTATCATCTGTTATTCAGCACATTGACATTGAAAAAAGTTATTCACAATTGTAGTGCGTTTTAGACATAAGGGATAGCGAATTTTAGCATTAATGAATGAAGACCTTTATTGTACATTTGTGTTCTACAGAACTAAGTAGAGGTCGCATGGGTACAGAACATGAACATAAACATATATACATTACATACATATGAACATATAAGAGTGTAAATAAATGTCTAATTTCTATTCTTTTCGGCTTCATCTCGCTTAGTAGTGATTTTATGGATATATGCGGCTGTGAGATTACTTAGAGTAGGTTTATCAAAAGTTAAAAGGAATACAAATTTCTCTTTACTAGTCAAATATCTGAAGTGGGGAAATATACTTAATACATGGCTAAAAAATGTGAGTCTATCTCTACTATACAAGGGGCAATCTATGGTGAAATGTATTTCATCTTCTATTTGTCCTAAACTACAGAATTGACAGGTTCTTTGTTCTATTAATGCACTCTTTGGCAATCAAAAAAGATTTAGCTGGTGATAGAATAACCCACATTCAAATTGATTTTAAGGATTGATAAAACGTTTACTTTTATACTGCCCCGTTAATATATCACGAAAAAATCTCACTTACTAATTCACAAAACCAACTTTCCATTAAAAACGTGGGACTAGTTAGTAGCCACTGCCTTCAAGCAAGAACTCAGAAATTTTAGTATGAATTTCAGAAATATCTACTGCCTAGATACTATTTTCTTTTGGTTTGCTTTATGTCTATATGACCCCCCTTGAAGTAAGTCTCGTTCGTGCTTGAGTTTGCAAATGAAGGTATTAATTTTGATTAATAAAGTCAATAATAAAGTCGAACCCCATAATAGCTAGCGTAATAGTAGAAGTAGAAGTAGAAGTTTTTCCAGACAAATTGTTACCTGTCTCCTGTTAATGTATTGCAATTAGAATTATACTTGATTGTACAAGCAATTAGCCTTCGGGCATGATTTTGCAAATAAAGTTATTTATGTGAATAAAGAATCTCTATTTGCATGTTCATGCCCATGGGGCTAAATACATACATCAGAGTGTGATGTTACATGTACATCATATTGAGTAACATGATAATACATATGATACAAGGATCTTAACAACTACTAGACAATACGTTCTATCTAATCTAGGCCATGAAGATTTCTTTTCTCTTTTCAAAGCAACTGGAGACAAATTTACATAGTTTTTCTATTGTGTGGTCACTACTGGTAGACACTAGATGACTGAATACCTCTTTTTTTGTTCTACCTTTATACAGTTTAAAAAAGCGGATTGTTCGGAATAATATTTAATGCTCGGCATCATGCAGTTTACAGTTAAGTACAAAATGCATTTCATCTTCTACGCTATCAAAGTTCAATTTCAATTTCAATTTTCAATTTTATTAAGAATAGTCAACATAGCAGGGGTACATAGTACTCCTGAATTGTGTGGACTTTACATATTACTAAGTATAAAAAACGCACAAGACAATTACATACAAGAGTGGGACATGAAACAAAAGAACACTAAGTCTGCAATTGGCTATTGTACAGTCTGATTGTGCGGTGGAGGAACGAGTTATACAGTCTGTTTGTCCGTGCCTTGGGCACCGTGATTCCCCCAGAGTTCCTCAAACAGCTCCCTGTGCTGTCCGACCTGGCTCCTGGTACCAAATTATGTAGTGGGTGGTCAGGGCTGAGCATACGCTTGAGCAGCTTGACAGCCGCAAGTTCACGTCTACTCTATTCTCATGTCCTGCAAGTTATACAATAAATGAAACATTAATTCCCCACCTTCTTCTCCGTAGACGGTATAGGTGATGCACGTCAGTAGAAACGCCACCATCACTACCAGCCTCCCGCTTGCCATTCTCGGTTGCCTCGTAGCAGAAATCCTGGAGAAAAAAAACAATCGTTTTACTTAGAATTTTGAGGTTTAAACCCTTAACATGGAATCTACCGTCAATCCTCATGCAGTATTATGCTACAGTATATCGGTTAACGACATCATTTTCCGCTCACAATAATTATAAGGGTCGGCAGATTTGAAACTATCAAAGAAATGTTTAAAACGCTACCAAAAACAGTATCCATACTTGCAGCACTAGGGAAAAAATCGTGTGAAAGACTTCAGTCTTCAGATATCCTGAGGTTTTTTCAACCCTCAACGTGGAATCTATTGTTAACCATTATGAAATATGTTGCTGCTATGGCATATTTTTTTAACGGTGTCGCTCAATGCAAGGCCATTGGCCACTTCTTGGCATAGAGCTAGCCTGTAACTGTAACAGCAACTTTTCTCCCTGAGTCAGAAACATCCTCACAAGTAGTGAGGACTAACTGTTATCAGTTAACTGCATCATTTTTAAAATACGGTCGTTCACAAAAAAAATAATAGCTGACGTGTCAAATAATGTTGACAACTTTACAACAACAGCATCCATAGGCATAGCATTAGTAACATCTACTTTCCAAGCAGAGGTAGGGGTTTCGGGTTATTTTTGGCATGTTTTATGCTTCTTCATCGGTGTTTCTTTTCTTTTTGCACCTGAGTTTTTTTCACCCAACCCAACAACCCACGAAATCCCGATAAAAAGCCTAAAAACACGCCAAAAAATAACCCGAAACCTAAACCTCTGCTTCGAGAATAAGTCACATCAGGGGACGTCGATGAAGGTTAGACATCCAGGTAATACAATACGCAAAAAGCAGTTACTCAAGCAACTGGATTATGATTTCGGAAACGTCAGACGTTTCAGCTAGTATCCACTAGCTTTCGTCAGTGACTAGAAGTGACTGGAAGTGACTGTCACTGACGAAAGCTAGTATATACCAGCTGAAACGTCTGACGTTTCCAAAATCATATCCAGTTGCTTGAGCAACTGCTTTTTTGCGTAACATCAGAGGACCAAAGAGAATACCTTGTCTTGTAGGTTCCTCGCCAAGTTCTCACCGGCAGTACTGAGGCTGCTACCGAAGACAGAGCGTCCTTTATCCCGGTAGTAATTTCCGCTTAGTCACTCCATAATCAAGTCTGATGACGACATCAGGCCTCGTGAGCCCGGCACCAGACATGACAAATGGCCGCCTGGGGCGGAGGGTCCAACGTCAGGGGACACACAGTTAGATTAAAGTCCTACAGCAAGGACGAACAGTGATGTTAATCTTCACACGATGCCAACATGAGTCACATTACAGCTGAATCTCAGTACATTGTGGCACACAAGGAAGAGTGGTTTATTCAATATGAAAAAACACTTGCAGCACCAGTGCTGAACTGCTGTTTCTGTACACAAATATGTACTTCAAATGGTATTGGGACTTACTCATTATACTTTACAAATAAGAATTAAATGAATTAAAGAATGAAGTTACTAATCCTAGTAAAATTCTATTGTAACATTAATTTTTTTACAATATTCTATTGTAATTAAAATTATTAAGTTATTGTATATTCTTAAGTTATTGTATATTGTATATTAATTAACATTTATGGTCATTCAGCAGGCGAACACAATGAGGTAGTGTGTTGTTTGACATACTTTGTGTCCGGCACTTCAACTGTGTCAGTTTCGAACTGTTTCTAAGTGTTCTATTGTGGATATCAAACCCTTTATTATGGCATCCAAAAACTGTATTTCTCACAACATCTTATGCTTGTATTTTAGGATATATTTTTTCGTATTAATTAAAGCAAATAGATATACTACTAGTAATAGTATATGGTACGCAAAATAATACTGCTATTAACAGAACTTTCTTTTAAAATGGTTCAGGCTTGTCATTTGGCTTGTCAACTGCTGCAACCGTACAAACTATGAAGCAGCGTCAAGGTTTACTGGTTCAATCCACCGTGACTGGTTCAACAAAAATGTTTTCAAAACAGCCATATTGTGTTTCTGGATGCAAACAAATAAAAAAGACAAATTGTAAAAGCTGTATTATTTGAGTTATCGACGAGTTATCTGCCTCCTAAGCGTCGTGACCAACCAGTAGAGTTATAAATAGAGCAATAATAGATTAAGATATCTCCTAATTTATACTGCCAAGGTGCACATTTTGATATAACTTGATTTGTGCCATCTTGTTAAAATGTTTCTTTTTTTAATTCTCACTCCTACATGACGATGCTGTTTACGTTTCTGTATCTATATATAGACTGGTTTATTTCGAAAGGAACATGCACACAACATACATATAAGTTGCTAATTGCAGCCCGCAGGCTGAATTGGGCAGCTTTTACAATGAGATACACAGGTAGAATATATTTAACATGTACATAACTTAAGCATAAGCATCAAATATTGCACTAGATTATTGCACTTTTATGTTTAAATTACGGCATTACAAGATCGGTTACAAATTACATGATCTGTATAAATGTAGCCGGTATAACCGCCCTTCGGCGTAACACACCAGCGTCGCAGGCACGCGGTGCGGCGGCAGCTAGCTATATCACACCGAACGACCTGTAACACCCAATCTTTATGCAGGACTTGTTTAAAGCTTTCTAGTGACGATGCCCTAACTGTGCTTTGTGGCAACGAGTTCCACTCTAAAGATTTTCCTCTCTGCCAGCAGATTAATAGCTCTCTTCTTTAATTAAATCAATTAAGTTAAAACCAATCCACCGTGGCCAACAGAGGAGTCATTGGTATAATGTGAATAAATTGCCTTTTCACAATTGATATCTTACGCTTCCGCTTCTGGGTGTATTTTACTCATCGAGAAATAAGGAGAACAATCTATCATAAATCGAATTAACACTGACAGAATGGTTGGAAAATTATTATCCTTTATTTAGTCAATGTACACAATAAAAATGCTTCCATTTGTTATTTAGTCTTTTTAAATATTTGACCAGGACTGCCTGAAAAAAATAGCTCAGGTTTCGACCTGAGTGTATCTTCCTGGAAAAATAAACAAAGTTAAAGTGTTGTTTTCTGTTGTTATTGTGTTCAGCAAAACTGTTTCACTTTAAATACTAGTATATACTAGTATGGTCTCTCATGTTTAAATCAATGCACTAAAATCAGTACCTTCGTAGCTGTAATAAGATAAAAAGTTGACGCCGGTTTATTATCGCCATGATTATGCTACACGACCAATACGAAGAATATAAACTGTTCTGTCATCTGTATTATAGTAGATCAAGTACTATTATTTCGAGGTTTTTTCCCTGCTGTTATCCTTGTTTTATCTCGATTGTATTTTTGGATCCGTGGATTATTTCTCTGTTACCATTACGTTATTACTTTTTGCTTTGTTCATGTCTTGTCTGTACATGTTTTTTTATTTCGAAATACCAATAAAAATAAAAATAAAAAGAATATAAACATCTTTCTTTGTCCACTACCAAATACAAGACATGCATTAATATGATCATTTTGACAGCGATGCCCCTGGCTTTGTGGCAGTAATTTTAGCAGTAAAAATCGATTTTCTAAAGTGGAGTATTTCATCCTATCCATTAGTCTGAAGACGACTACATCAATAACATTAGGATGAAGAAATATTGAGGCTGTAACCAAGAATCGCCTTCATGCTCGGTCCTCATTTGCATACGTTTATAATTTAAATCTAGATTAAACCGGTTCGATCTGGAACAATCTACTCTTCTCCAGTACTAGTCTACTCATTGAATAGAATAGATAACGTAGTTCGAGCGATGCCGTGAATCATCAGCATGTGTATTTCCTGTATGTCGACCAAATCCATGTTGATTTGATTATATGGATGACATCCGCGCGCGCATGAATTTTCGTCCGTTTCCCAAAAAAGGTTTTTTGACGATACTGTAAATCTTACAACGTAGCTGCAAATTGAGCAAATCTATGTCGTAAAAATTGAAACATGTATATGTTGGAAAACGATACTTATGTCGCAAAATGCCAAAATCCCAAAGGAAAAGGAACGAAAATAAAATGCTAATAAAATATAGTACTCTATGTCTTTAGTCATTTGTTCAATCTTCATGACCACCTAGATTTTATAGTGAAGGCAATTTTTTTTTTATTCGCACGCTCGCATCAGTTTTTCGGGTTGCCAGAGGATGTCACCCATGTAATCAAATCAACATGGCCTGAGGAACGTTCTGTGCCCTTTATTTCTAATCTCCGCTCACGTATTATTGAATGACCCCGAGAAAATGTCAGCTCCGGTTTAATCATGACAGGGTGAGCAGGGTTTATTGTCTTGACAGAGACAGCGATCTAATAGCTATTGAGAGAGTGCAACGGCGAGCTTTACGGATCATCAATCAATCAATCAATCAATCAAAATGGTTTATTAATACATTTTGTCAGCCAGTGTCCTCACTATGAGACCGACAGAAACAGATTATTTCAGACAGTTACAACAATTTCTCCATCCTTTCGTCATTTAGAAGATCACCAAAAAACTGCATTGCTACTAAGATCACAAAACCCACTAATTATGCACAATGTGGGACTATTCATTATCCACTGCCTTCAAAGAAGAAGTCGAACCCCATAATAGCTAGCGTAGTAGTAGAAGTAGAAGTTGCTACCTGTCTCCTGTTAATGTATTGCAATGAGTATTATACTTAATTGTAAAAGCAATTAGCCTTCGGGCATGATTTTTCGAATAAAGTTTCATTAATACGAGTAAAAGACATTGCAGCCAGGCTGAATTGCGCCTTCTGTTCATACATATTGGGCAGGACACATTAAAAAAATTTTACAACATAGTTTAAAAACAATACATTAGTGTCAATTGCTTCTAATATCAGTGATTGCCTCTAATTCATTTTCAAGCGTTCAGGATCCGCAACATCGATGGTACAGGATTGTTCTTAAACCTTAGAGTTCGGCAGGTCGGTACGGTTAGTTCATTAAAATTCCTAAGGGACCGTCCATGTCATCTCTCTGGGTGGAAGACAGGAGGTACCCAACCTTCCTACACTCAGAGAACGACGAGAACTGGCAGCCGTGAAGCTGCTCAAAGCCATGCTGAACGCGGACCATCCCCTCCATGACTTGGTGGAGGGGTTGATGAGCACGGGGAGGTCCTAATTAAGGAACGCGGGAAGACTCGGGGTTCCCATGGCAAGAATCTCCAGACTGCAGAGTTCATTTCTTCATCACACAACCAGACTCTGTAACAGTCAAATGCAGACTTAGTTTTTATGTGTTGTACATATTGTAATTGTCGTGAATCTGTATGTTCTGTTCGTACTTACATTGTATTTTTATGTATTATGTAAGGTCAGCACAATTCAGCGGTCCATAATTTTTATGTACTGCTGCTATGCTGACCACTGTTTTGAATAAAGAATAAAGAATAATCATGTCATGCAAACTGTGATATTCTGTGCTGTAAATAAATACATGAATAAATAGAACTTCATAAATACACTATTGTCAGGTTTGACTTCAGATACATAAAAGGAAAAAAATGAAAAAAAATTAAAGACGACAAAAAAGACAAATAAAAATCAATAAAAATATAACATTGTGTTATGAGTTGTTTATTGAAGAAGATGAATATAGTACGTATGTACGTAGATCTATCACAATTGGATACTGATAGATACTGATATTCTCTGATATACATAAATACATGTAAAATAGAATTTCATAAATACACTATTGACAGGTTTGGCTGCAGATACACAAAAGAAAAAAAATTGAAAAAAAATTAAAGACGACAAAAAAAGACAAATAAAAAACAAACTAGCAATAAAAAGATAAAATTGGGCTCTATGTTATTTGTTGAAGAAGACGTATGTAGTACGTATCTATCACAAGTCTGTTATACTAAATATCAATGAAAGTTGATTATCAAAAAGATGATGAATGATTTAGTAGTCTCTACAGACCTTAGGGCGGAAGGCCAATAATTATTTTGTATTTGGAACAGAACCAAGAAAGCAATTCGTAATTCATTATAATGATTCATAGTTATACCATGCACCAACATATCAACCTGAAAAAAAAAACACAAATACGGTTACAACTTCAGGAATAAGTCTAAATCAAAAGA